AAGCAGTGGTATCAACGCAGAGTACTATTGTCAGTTTGAAGGGTATGTGCGTTATAGAAACGTGCGCCGTTTGACCGACTTAGCTGAAACTTTGCACGCATATGTTTTCGACCCTTGCGCAGATGATAGGCTACTTTTTGCGGCGATTCGTAGGGTCCTTCTATCGATTTGTTTACGTTTTTAAGGGATTAAAGGCTTATCATGTTCAATCAAGCATTTTCCCATAATCAAGTAAATGAGGGCGGTGAAGCTCATTTTCACCTCGGGTCACGAGGATGCGGTTTCAGAGCGGATGTGCCAGGGTAAGTCATCCATAACATGCAAGGGGGAGAGCGCTTGCAGTGCAGGTGAACGGAAAAAAGGCCCGGGCTGGACCGGGAAAGCCAACTAGTATCTACAAAATTTATGCTAGTAAACAGGATAAACACCGAAGCTGTTGTTGCCACAGTAAGCATTTGGTCCGAAACCCTTCCTTCTTGAAAAGTTGTGGGCATTGAGAAGTCTCTTATCTAATCGAAAATCTACCGTTAAACATGCTATTGTACTGTATGATTGAGTGCAATCGTACTATATTATGCCTACAAAGTTCATGAAAAACAATAACTCCTCATCCTAATTTCAATCCAGAACGTCATATTTTCAAATTCTAAAATCAAAAAGGAAGAAGAAGAAGTCGTTTAGTGAGTGTTCAAGGAGGATGGGTCGTTCTTGAACGACGTGTGCCTATGCGCACGCTTGAACTGCTTATGATTTGCTGCAAATCCATCTTTTGATTATGTCCTTCGGTATTGCCCGTCATATCAGTATCTACACGGGTCGCAAAAGTAAGTACACACTTTGTGATCGAAAATTTTCTCTCACAAAATGTTTTGTCAAACTTTGGATGTCATTATGTAGAGCTACCTTCATTTTAAATTTATAGGATGAAAGTGACTACTGCAGCAAAGGTCGGCTAGTGAGGCTGCCTTGGGATTGCCATGTCCTCGTATGGTACCTCAAACTTGAGCAACTAAATCTTTATTTAGAATCAGAACAGTTGAGTTGACACAAGATAATAAGAGTGAAATCCCCAAGACTTGTCTAGCTTGCTATCTAAACCCCTAAATCCTTCAAACTTAATAATTTCTAAATGCCACGTCATTGTTATTGAGGATAAACTAACGATAAGGTGACGGAGTGAACTTGTGAATGTCCAAAGTTTTTCGTGAAGTGCTCTTCTAAGAACTAATATTTATGAGATACAAGGCAAACATGAGTATCAAACAATAAACAACAAACACAAATAGTATTCACAGATATGTTGTAAGTCCTCTTATCTTTGAACCTTGGCATGTCCTTGCATGTGAATAATTTCAATTATTATATTATGCCGTACAGGTTGTTATAGATGATATACTTTATTGCCCGACGTTTCGGCAAGACGCCGTCTTCAGGGGCTGAAAAGGCGTCTTGCCGAAACGTCGGGCAATAAAGTATATCATCTATAACAACCTGTACGGCATAATATAATAATTGAAATTATTCACAGATAATTACAGTATCTTTGGCGGCAATCCTGAATCTTTCACTGCGTTGGGGACACTCCCGCCACACATTGGCTTTCTCCTCCTAATTGCTTCTTCATCAGCTCCCAACGCGTGGCTATAGCGTTTCCTCAATTCGCTGATCCACCTACAATTCTTGCGTTTGTCTTGCATCTTCTTAGACAGAGCTTGTTTTTTGAAAGTATGTATGAAAGTTTGCGCGATACCTGCTGGACTGCCATCCAAGAGTATGGACATG